AAGCGAGCCTTGAATAACGAAGGGGGGGGGGAGAATTATGGCACTCCGCCACAAGTTCAGTAAACTGTATAATCCAAGGTCATCCAAAAACAACATATTGGTACACAAGCTGTCGTCGAAAGAACTGACGAAGGGGTAGATACAGGTTCTACAGCGCGAAGGCTCATTCAATACGGCTGATGCTAAACCTTTTAGCATGATTGCAGCCGTTGAATTGGTCATTAACTAAACGAAATTGACGGAGGGGACGGAAGACTTTATCTGACACCAGGTATCGTCCTTCTTTAGCTCATCAACCGCGCGAAATAGTATCGCTGTTATGGCAGTTTTGTCGCTGTCGATTACTCTCTCGTAGTCTAAAGTTCTGCAAATATGTTCATTATAACAAACTAATACGTGGTCTTCAATCCAACAGACCTGAAACTGCTTCTCTCACCCGCACCTAACTTTTTAACACGACAAACCTTAAATATCGCAAAAGTATTCAACCCAATCCAGACATTTCGCTCGGCTCTCCAACCTAGGTCGAAGGAGAGGGTAACATTAAAGTTCTCAGTGATCTTTGGGGTAGTTGGGACATGATGCACCTCCGGCACTATAGGGGAGGAGAGTAACAACTTCGAAATCTGCTCACATATTTCGAAGTAACTCACATGACAGCCAGGTATATTAGGCTAGAGTAATGACCTCCATTGAACCGGCCCCAATTGTTGACGACCTTCAGAAACGACATTAAATTATTAACAAAATTAGTAACCTGTCCCCCAACGCTGGGTGACTGTTTTCGCGATGGTTCTACCAGCTTTTATTGCTTGCTAGGATCGAGCACTGATGTGAGCACTTAGACTGCCTTCAATATTTCAGTTGCCAACACTTTATCTTCTCTTTCTGTTTTGTGGTAGAATTATATCCACTTTTACCTTAGACAATGCTCTACTACCCTCCTGTCTAGGTAGGCAGGCAAGTAGCCCTTGTTGGATCCGGAACCCCGCCGGGTGGGCCTCAATCCCGGCGGCGAGGAGAAGGAGGAGGAGGAGGAGAAGCATAGTCAGGAGGGCTGCTCTGTCATAAAAAAACAGGTGGAGAGGAGGAGAGATGATCCACCATATGACGTTTGGTGTAGCAGACCTTGGCCGCCCTGAGGGCGGGTGGGAACGCGGTCGAAGACGCGTCTGCTGTGGTTCCCTCCTGTCTAGGTAGAATTCATTGGCGCAGTGCTGAGCTTAGCAAAATAGGGACATTTGAAGAAGGCGGCACATCTGCTGAAATCCACGAGTCTTGTATCGGTACTAACTATTTGGCCTCACGAGTTGATTGGTTAGAAGTGAACTTCTAATAAGTACGGCTGTAATCAGGCCTGGCCCAGCCGGCCTCAATGATGTCACAGTCGGCCCAGCCCACAGTTAGTGTTAATTACAAGTACCAGGCGCGTATCATATCAGAAACCTACCG